CCCCAAAACCCCAAAACCCCAAAACCCCGTAAAGCAAGATCAGCTTTTCAATATGTGTCTATTTTGTAAGTTAAATTTTATGCGAATAATAGATTGCTAATTAAATTATAATTGAAAATGACTTCAACTGATTAGGCTTAAATAATTGGAACATTCGATGAAAGTTAAATATTTCTAAAACCATATTATGAGATGCTGTCGAAATCTTTTGTTACAAAAAGAACTCATAGTAATTATTTTGATGAAATTGATCTATCATAGCAACAAGTGATTGGATGGTAAAAAATGTGAAGGAAATTGCTTAATCTTTCGATGTAATTCAAGATTTTCATGTTTACCATTTCTAATAGAGTTATCTTCAGCAAGTAGATAATTGGAAAATTAACTAGGTTTTTATATCTTGCATATGGTGTCGTGATTTCGATGAATAACCCCTAAGAATAGAGCTAAGAGATCATCTGTCAAAAAGACTTAAGCAGTGGATTAAAATATTTTTCAAAGGAATTCAGATAAAGAAATTCGACATGAAATCGAAGATTTAGTTTTTGGAGTAGCTAAAAGATGCCAAGATAGTCCAAACCAGAGTTAGGGAAGATACAGGAATCATCTAATACAATGCTGGACAATTGATTGATTATATAGAGTAGTTGCATAAGCTTAAAAAGAATCAAAGTCACATTATCTTGGTTGATTCTGACCTTTACCCGAGAGATGGATGGAATTACAGTAAGAACATAAAGTAATTTAATCCAAAATTAAATAGTTTTTGGTTCTACAAAAGCAAAGTCAAGAATTTGCCTGATAAGTATTGCAAGACATGATCCCAATTTCGGTATCAAAGGTTTAAGTGTTCCGTTAGATATTAACAAAATAATGTACAGAGCAATTAAGGTAACTATAAAAATGTCTCAAAAAATATTTTAGACATCTACTCATGAGTTTTGCCACATTCTACAGATGCAGCACTGCCAATACTATGAATGTTTGATGAACGGTTCTAACAAATTAGAGGAGGCAGACAGAAAGCCCTTTTTGCTATGTCCAGTATGCACTCGAAAGCAAAGAACCTATCTGAAAATAGAAGATAATATAATCTAGCACTATGAAGAGATCTTAGATTTTATTGAAAAGAGACTTCCTGGCATATTTCAATCAGAGATAGAAATGTACTCTAAAATGATACACGACATGAAGAATTACGACTCTGATGATAGATATAACACTAGTTTCTAATTCAACTAAAATCAAGAGCAGCACAACTATACTTAAGACAATGATCGCACATACGAGCCTAGTGAATACACCAATCGGACTATTAATACAGATGATCCAGAGAAAGGACAAATTAAGAAATAAGAGGGAGGAGGAGATGAGATTTCTTCGAAATTTAAGTGTGGATGCTGTCAAAAGCTTAAGCAACTCATTAGGTGCTTTAAGAAGTAGGAATCTTGAAGAGCAAACTCACTTATATTATTTAATGTTAAATAGGTTTCTTTATAATACTTAAGTAGATTATATGTTATTGTAAGTATATTTCAATATAATTCATTATGTAAAACTGGAAGATCATGAGAATCAAGTTTTTGGGGTTTTGGGGTTTTGGGGTTTTGGGGTTTTGGGGTTTTGGGG